CTCCATGGTTACTCTTGCCTCAGTGCTCAGTGAAGCTGTGACACCAATGCTAACATCAGCGTGTGTTTAGCAGGTAATGTTTAGCTTGTTCGACTGTAATGTCACACTTTTCATTGCTCTCCACCAGGGTTGGGCTAGTTACTCAAAAGTAATATTATTACTTTACTTATTACTCCCTGCCAACATTAATTACTATAAAACTTCTAATATTAGCCCGGGCGTTTATTTGCTTAAAGGGGGAACTTGACAACTCTAGCCATTTCTTCACTGGTTTTCACTTTTGCTGTCGCATGTTTTCTCAACGAGCTCCCCCTACAGCTCTGGGACGTATATTTCAAAACACTGTCGTAAAAAAACTCCCCCTTTCTACCGCTGCTGATGTGCATTTGTTGCTGGGCAACTTTTTCGTGTGGAGCAATGTCTACCGAGGTGGGTAATACATTATACACAGTATCATAGAACATTGCGTTTATGTGGAATTGCCAGAAAGCAGTTCGTGTTTCTCGCTCGTTCTCGCTTCTCACGATACTTCCTATTTCCAATTTAACGGGACGGTAGTCCCAAAGTTGCAAGGTTGGTTTTCCGCCTGGGGACGCTAGGGGGAGCAGGGAAAGTCACCATTAACACAGGAACAGGCCATTTAACCATCCAAATGATTTCTAAACGGGTTTATTAAGTTGAAATAGTTGCCAAATTCACCTTTAAATCACTGAACTCCCCTGCCTTCATTGGGGATAGGCGTCTATTTGGGACCCTTCTTTTATTGGAAGTTTTACAGTAGTTACACTGCCAGTTATATTACTTTTCTGCTACTCCCCACAAAATTAGTAATTGTGTCCTTTCTCCCTAAAATTCAGACTTACAACAATTAAAATCAAAATAATGGAATATTTCCAGCTGCTGAATGTACAGTAATGTTATTACTGAAATGTACTAGTAATTAGTTACACTACTAGTTAATGGGGAAAGTAATATTATCACTGTAATATTATTACTAGTAATGAGTTACTGCCCAACACTGCTATCCAATGGCTCTCTGTCACCAATGAGCAATAGAGCAGACACAAGCGCAGCACCTACCTACTACCTTGTCGTTTGCTGCAATCTGCTACTGAATTTCTAGTCCTACCATCACTGTGGGCTGTTTTTCTCTTGTGTGCTCCTTTGTTGGTTGAATGAGTAACTGAACACGATTCGGTCAGCGGAAACCCTCTCTGTCTTCAAATACCACTGCAAAACAAAACCTCCAGTGAGTATTTACTCACTGAAAATACCCTGGTCATCCAATGGTACAATGTAAAAAAAAAAAAAGAAAAAAAAAAGAAATTTTACAGTAAACTGGCAGTTGTGGTTGCCAGAACTTACTTATTGGTAGCACTATTATGATAAAAGGATATTAGTACTGTTGCCATCAAAAGAAACAGTTTTGCCATATAAAAATACCATATGAACACCATAACTGTGTTTTTCTGTGCAATTTCTGTAATATAAAAAATCTACTTTATTCCTCATAAAGCTGTCATCAGACGTTCAATGCAACACCAGGAAGGATACAAAACTCCAACATTTTAAAGTACCAGGATTTAGTGGCCTAGTAGTCTAGAGGTAAAGTCGCTGCTCGTTTTCCAAGCGTGTAGTAGAAACTACAGTGGCTGTAAAACACTAAAGGTCCTAACATGGCAGTTCAACATGGCAGACTCCACCAGAATAATTCTTATTCTCGGGTATATTATATTATTATATAATATTCCATCTCTGCCAATAGAGACTCCTAAATGTTATACACTGGACCTTTAACACAATAAAAACTTTTATGTAATTATGTAAGTTGTTATGTAACTGTACACGTTTGTTTACTAGTTTACAAACCAGTGCAGTGTATTTTATTATGATTCATTAGCTATGGTTAGCAAGTTTTAGCAAGTTGATTTCAATAGTGTACTAAAATGAACTGGAACCACTGGAGGCTACAGCAGGACTTGCACAAACTGGGAAATGGTTGTCATTAATTTAAGTTGGAAGCACATAGGGAGGGGGGGTGGCGGTGCGGATGGTGAGGTAGGCCTGCTTCGTCGTACGAAGAAGCCCGCAATTTTTGGTTGCGTTTTTCTGTCCATAATTTTGAATAATTATCATACCTCGATGCGACAGGCTATCCAAATGCCAGATGAACGTCTTCATCCAACATTTTTTTCTTTTTACCCGGATAAAGAATGTTGTAGAATGTTTGACAATGCTGTTCAGACACATCACATGATTCGGAGGCATATCACATATTTAAAGATTATAAAAACTGATTATTTTCCGATTCATGGCACGTTTTTCATTATTTTTTCAATGCGTTCTGCGGAGAAGGGAGACTGGCATTGGTAACGGTTTGGAATGAAAGGGAGAAAACAGGATAGAGTAACACGGCGGATATCGCTCATATTGCTAATATAATAATTGGCCTACTTTTTTTTTTTTTTTTTTTGACAACGTAGTTAAGGCGGCAGGCGTGTGTTAGCTGCAAAGTGCAGCGGGAAACCCTGACTGGAGCACAGCAAATTCTGTACCAATCATACATTTTTCTTACAAGAACCCATTACAAAATCATTTGTATTAGCAAATGTATTACATTTGTATGTGTATATCAAGACACTATATTAAAAGAATTGTGATCATTATTTAAAGGGTCATATGGTACTGTACATCATCTACAGTGTAACACAATTCTTAGATTCATTAATTACATACATATATCATATTCATTCAACAATAAAATACAATAAATCTAAAAATCAAACTTAGTACACCTTGATATGGTAAGTAAAACCACAGGCTTTTATTATTGAACTATTTCAAAAGCTCAAAATTCGACTGACCCTTAACTGACCACATAAATTTACCATCATTTGGACTGTGAACATTGTAAAGTTATGTTGACAGGTTGGTCCTTGGTTGACATGTTCTTGTTGTGATACTTGTTATTGGCCATTAAGACGATTTTAAAATGTAACTGAAACATAAACACACTGGAATCTTGCGGTTATAAAATAGCATTTCTGCTGGTTTGAGGACGGCAAGGGTATTATTCAGAATCAGTTTACAGATGGTAGTGATTGTCAGCGATTGAATTCCTGTGACTCAATCAATAATCAATATACTGTATCATTACTTTTATAATGTATTAGATATAATATATCTTTTATTATACATGAAGAAAAAAAATTACAGTCCAATTGAAATCCTTTTGCACTGACAAAAAACTGTCAAATGATTTTCAAATGTCCAAGTCTCTTAGTGTACGTGCTACTGCACATGACTGACTGACAGCTGATCTGACAGGCACAGAAGGACAATGTAGACAAGTGAGTTGCTAATAAGTAAAGATGTTTTACAGCTATTCTACTAGCTAATTAGTTTACAGCTAACTGTACAAACTGTTGCCACTGCACTTTAGTTTAATAGCTCATTCAAGAGAAATAAACTTTGCAAGTTTGCAAAGTTTTTTGTGTCATCACTGCTGTCTTCTGGCTGCTAGCACCACCATCAGCCAACAATAGAACAGTCCCAGGGCACAACTTCTTTTTGTTGATACACTTTAAAAAAGAGCAACTGGTATGAATAATAAAAGACTTTCCTGCAAATCTGCAATTTATTTTCAGTTGGACTGATTTCAAGCGCTGTCAACAATCAGATCTGTTGTTGAGCTTTTAAAAGTATCAACAGAGTTTTGAAGAGAACGTGCTGGTGAGAAAGTCCAAGGTTTCTAAGTGTGTTGGCCCAGAGTTCAAGGGTGCTTGAGTTCATCCAGACTTCTTAAGGGAACGATCACACTTATCCTGGATATTGCTCAAGGATATTTCAACATGTGGCGGGAGGAGCCGGGGATCAAACCAACAACCTTCCGATTAGTGGACAACCTGCTCTGCCTCTGAGCCACAGCCACCCACTACAGGCACAGCCTTGGTAAAGAGTGTCAGGGGAAAATCCAACGGTGTGTGCAGGCTGCGTGCGCAACCGGGTGATCAAATATGATTACCAGGATAAAAACAAGTCGATTAAAGCAGAGGTCAAGCTCTAGATGAGTAAACTCTGGCTTCATTTGAAAGAGGTGGATAACTTTACTAAACCCCTGCTCCATAGCTTTCCCACTAGCTAGGCTAGCTAACCTATTTACGGGCATCAAAACAAAGAGGTAAAGTAGTAAAGCCCTCTTGCTTCATTAGCTGTCTGGGCCAAGTGTGACATTGTGACATTGACCAGTGGTGCGAGTCGCACCACTTGTGCCGAAAAGTATTTTAACTTTTATGCTCGTCTTAAAAACGCTAAAAACTGCAATGTGTGGCACAAGAGAGGAGTGGACACCAGGTGTGCTGTACCACTAGATAACAATGGTTTTGCAAGCAACACATTTCTAGCGGCTTGTCTCTGAGTGATCGGCCTTATTAGTGTACAAGATTTGGAGGATTCTAAGAATTACATGGTTTTTGGTTTACTCATTTACTATTCCATACACTTTATACAGTAATCTTCTCTGTATGTAAGATTTTGGACACGGAATAATCAGCATTTTGTGCCTTAAATGAATGCAGTGTTGTATTGTGGCAAAAAGTAGACCCCTACTTTTTGTCACAATGCAACACTGCATTCATTCATTTATCGCCCACCCGGGCGATATGGGCAAAAAATAATATCTTGTGATTTTTTGGAATTTTGGTGATAACGATAATCAGTCGATATTTAAAAGAGTTTAGGGCTTGTGTCCACCAAACGCGTTTTTACCGCTGAGAGCACTCAAAAACTCATTTTCCGAGCGCCCAGCGGTGTTAAAAGTTGAAAAGATTTCAACTTGCTCTCTCAACTGACATCTTTTTACTGCCAGAGAGGTAGACCCACGGCTCGGCACTAAATCATCTGAAGTACCGATAGCTTCAGGGACTGGAGGTGTTTACATTTTCTCTCTACCATCACAACGCGCTGCTAAACTGTTGCAAGGGGGATGCTAGCGAGAGATCATGTGATCACGTCATGTGATCACGTCATGTGATCACGTCGGCCCACTAGTGGTGTGACTGAATCCTGCCATGCTGTAGAGAGCGCTGCTGCACCGTGTATTAAGTGGATGTGAGGAGTTTCCGCGTGCGTTTCAATATTTTTGGCGAAGTAATTTAAATACTCGATAATGGAAATTTGCACATCATCAAAACAACAATGACGATATTATCACAAACAATATATATCGCCCACCTCAAGCAAAAAGTAGTGCATATATGGACATTTTATATTGAATAGTTGGAAGTTTTGCATTTTACACCTAGAATTTGGACAGTCCAGACACATGTCCAGGATTGTAGCCGAGTGTGTCTGGGTTCTAGAGTTTAGGACGGAGGGATCCGACCACAGGCTTGTCTGAGCAGAACTCTTTCCACCAGGACGGCCGTTCCAGCACCTGGTTGCCCTGCATCACCGTTGACCACAGGTTCTTGTAAAGCTGAGTGAAGGAGACACAAGGAGAGGAGTCAGAGGAGAAGGTTTTATGTGCTCACCGTTAAAAAAAATAAAATCCAATCCATTTCTAGTCTTCTGTTTCTTGTAACTAATTCCAGCCCCTGACCTGCAGCACAGGCACACGAGTCAGATGTATCCAACCCTGTTAACACCCCTCTCTGAACTGTCAGTGTCTTGCTCTAAAAATCACATAACTGTGTCCAAGTGCCCCATTAGCTGTCTTATTTACAAATGTTTTTGGTAGATTTTTTGCATAGTTATTATTCTCCAACAGGGGATCAATAAAAGAACATCTATCTTATCTTAAAGTTATTACAACCCTCCCCCGGCAGCGACTGTCAAATCTGACAGTTTTGTGGTCTGCCATTCAGAATTATCATTGTAAACTGTGTATATGCAGTGCTAGATTTGAAATCTGAGATACTTAACAACAGTAAGAATCAGTTAGCAAAAGGACATCTCCTTCATGCCATAGTTTGATATAAAGAGTCTGACCCCTGAATAATCTAAGTTGTCATCATCACTTCCTGTCCAACCAGACATCAAAAACCTGCAGTCAAACAGCCAGTTGGATCCGCACCAACCACAATTAGAAGCAATGCTGTCATCTTGAGTATACTATAAACATACCCCTGACCTTCCAAATGTCATACCCATTCCAGATTTCAGACCAACACAAACAGATCTGGTGAATTATGGCTTGGAAGCTTTATTTGTATGTGACCGCAGATGAACCAGAAGTTTGTTTGTGGTTACATTTCAGTTAATCTGGGTTAATGAAATTCTGGGGAGTGATGCACAACAGGATGGTCTACTGAGAAACTCAGCTGAGTAACATTGGTATTTCTGCTTTATTATATTGTTTATGTTATGATGTTTTTGCTAAATGGTGTTGTTGTTACAAGTTTACAGGAAGGGATGTGAGAAGGACGTAACACATGACCATGGTCAAGCTGGATTGAACGTATGTTTTTGTGTATATTGTGCCAGGATCTCTATTCCTCTCAGTGGAACTACTAATAGTTAGTTCTAATACAAAGTTTACTACTAGCTTTATTGTTGTGTGAGGTGTTTTTCTATTATTTTTTAACTTCAAATGTGTTTAAACCATTGACATATAAAAAATGGACTTCGTGTCTACACTTCCTCCCACTGTGCAAAGAAAAAAAGCCAAAATATCTGGCCACTGCCATCTTTCGCCGTTTAGAGCCAGAGTCTGCGCAGTGACCAGGGTTGGCATCGCAGTATTCAAGTCCCGCCCATATGCCTGGCTGACTCAATTGGGAGTAGGGCTCAGCTTTCAATCATGATGTGAAACCCTCTTTTTATACCTTCAAATAGGTAATTAAAACCAAACTGCTGATAAAAATGAACACTTGAGCATACATCAGCGTGATAAGAACTACCTAACCAGTTGGTCTTATCTGCTAACATGGAGGCAGCAGGCTTTATGACCTATACTGCAGTCTGCCACAAAGGGGAGATGGAGATGTTCTGGCTTCATTTTCGGAGAGCTGTCATGTCATCTATCCTTATATATGTTGATGGTTAAAACCTCTGGGTTGATTGCAAGAATGGCCTATGTTTCTGTTATTCTTTGTAATAGCATTGGAAAAACTTATTTGCAGATGATAAACTATATTATTAATGGTAAAGAATCTTATTTATTATTTAATTCCAGTTCTCATGGAAACAAATGTTTTTCAATATATACAGGATCAACTGGCATAATCAGAAGCAATGCCTAAGTCAGCTTCTTGCACCTCAGAAATGTTCACGTTTTTAAATTTAATGATTTAAAAAAAGGTCCAAAAGATACAGAAAACTTCCTTTCCTGGTAGTGCATTTTTAACATACTTCTGTCCGTTAGTTTTCCACCCTTCTTCTAATGCTTAATTTCTGACTTCATCAATAATTTAGACACCCAGACAGACCCTTTTGTATGATTTCAGTCAGTCAGAAGTCAGTGGTATTTTTATTTTTAGGTTTTATTATTAAACTATAAACATTCTCAAACTTGACGAATATTACAGATGAAACATCTAGGACCAATTTTGCTGCAAAATAAACCAGACAAATCCTGAAGCTGACAGAATACAGTGTGGGTGTCTATGCTATTTCTTAGGCAAAACAAACATTAGTTGAGCCTTCTTACAAAAAAGAACCTTCTCAGACAATGTAGAGAGGGCCATCATCAACAACTGTCAACACAATTTATGACTTTTTTTTTTTAAGCAAACACAACGCTGTGTGTGTTTTCCTGGAAGAGGGAGAGACCGCAGCCAATGCTCTACAGTCTTCTTCCAGTAATGAGACTTAACCTCAGAGTGGGACAACATGGGAGTGACTGAGAGGCAGCTACGTGGCTTATTATTGAGTCACTGTGATGAGTGTTGGTTTGTGTGCAGTTTACAGTTCACCATAAACGCAAACATATAACATATAATTTATCTATAATTTGGCAATATTGTTCTTAAATTTAATATAAATAAAGCATGTGGAATTGAATTGACAAAAAGCTGTTCATAACTAAGCGTCGTATGGAGTCTGGAGTGTGCCATAAGAAACTATTACAAATCGTGTAATTAATGGTCAGTGTGTAGGATTTAGAAGCATCTAGAGGTTTAGTTGCAGATTGCAGCTTACAGAAGTTAAACAGAATCTAGCTTCATATCTGACCAGCACTGCCTAGTTTGACAGTTTGATCTGAGTTTGGTGCGTTAAGCTGGACGCACTCACTGAGAATGACCTGTCAATCACAAGGTAGCCCCGCCCTAAAGCATACCCTGCTTTATCGTCTTTTTTACTCTGAATGGGACCAGAATTTACTAAATGAACATCATGCTGTATGGAAGAAGACTTGAAACTAGATATTGAGACCATAAACTCATTAGGAAACTGTTTACTGAGCTTGTAAATCAAGTCAGAAGAAGGGTAATGTCCAGACTCAATACTATCAGACTTCTGTTTTGCAGCCAATAGAGCTTCTCCCTGCTGGCCATTAGAAAGAATGCGGGTTGAAGACACTTCTGTGTTTGCTTCACTTGACAGACCCGAAAGCTCTGTCCACTAATTATATAATGTCAATGATTCTCACCAGATATGTTTTTTTCTCAAAGAATAATCATAAACTTTACCACAATTCCCTTCCCCGTCAACAGCACTCAACATGTGTTGGTATGACATGACAATTCTTGCGTTATTTATGCCTACGACAAAAAAAGGTTTTACTGGAGGTATAATTATGTGTTTATATGTCTTTACCTGTCCATCTGCATTGCCAATAGGTGAGTTTAGAATGAAATCAGGAGGTGCAAAAACATCCACTAATGCTACTGCATCATCCTTCAGCTGGAGGGAAAACAGAGAGAGAGAGGATAGGTTGAGCTTAAAGTCAGAATCTACCAGAACCATAATTTCATCATTCAGCTTTATGAAGACAGGAAGTGAGGAAGGGAGCTGTGGCTCAGAGGCAGAGCGGGTCATTCCTTAATCAGAAGGTTCAATCCCCGGCTCCTGGTGCCACATGTCGAAGTATCCTTGAGCAAGATACTGAACCCCAAATTGCTCCTGATGCTGTGCATCAGTGTGGGAATGTGTATGAATGTTAGTTTCTGTTCAATTGACTTTGCCATCACTGAGTGAATGTGTATGAAAGGGTGAATGTGGCACGTAGTGTAAAAGCGCTTTGAGTGGTCGGAAGACTAGAAAGGTGCTACACAAGTACAGGTCCATTTACCAATTGCAATAAACACTATACAGTGTAAGTAAGAAATACAATAAAGAGGATGGTACATTACACTTTGTTATCTGCATTTATCTGCAAGGCTTTCAATTCATTAATTAACTGCTGAAAGTTCCATTTTGAAGTACTGACCCTGCTTCGCAGGTCTTCTGTAACCCCTTTCTTAAGTCAAGGCAGGGCAGGGCAAATAAGAGGGACATGGACATCAGACAAAGAGTGAGAAGGACAGAGAGACACAAAGCCAGATGTCTCTGTACCTGGGAGCAGAGAGTGAGAATGGCCATCTGGACCAACTCTGGGGGCTTCTCTCCACTCAAGTAATTACCTGTGCAGGAACAAAACTGTGTCACAAATATCAATACAGTGGAATGTGTTGCCTGGATTTATGCATGCAGTATGTCGATTACAGTACATACCCTGGTACAGTGTAGCCATGTAGTTGCTGAGGCTCCACAGCCCATAGAGCGCACACAGCTTGCTCAGGACAGGTCTGAGACCAGCTGGTGTGTCCTGATCTGTAGTCAGCTCATGAAACCTCTGGAGGCAGTTGTGTTCAATGTAAGCCAAGGCCAGGGAACGGCAGTAGTAAACCTAAATGTGCGCACACACATACACATACACACACACACACACACACACACACACACACACACACACACACACACACACACACACACACACACACACACACACACACACACACACACACACACACACACACACACACACACACACAGTGGGGACATTGTATTTCTGTTATAAACTCAGGTGAAGTACAACATTACACCACTATTAAATCAAATCTAACCACGTCTCTCTGCATTTGCAAGAATCCACCAGACCTGAATGAAAACAACTAATCAGAGCCCAGAGAGAGAGTTGATTGTTGAGTCTCTTTCCCAGGGTGTCAAATACCAAAGTTGGAAATGAGACTCAACAATCAACTATCTTTCTCTGCTTTGATTGGCTGTTTTCATTCAGGGTGGGTGGATTCTTGCAATGGGCAGATAGAATTGGTTAGGGCATAAAAAAAAAGGACTAAATTACTTTTCCCAGATCTAATAGTTGAAGTCTGTCCCCTGTAGACTTCTCTATCAAGTTTTAAAGGTGTATTAACGATGGTCCAAACTGATGTGAAACTGCATACTGCATATAAACCCCCCCCCCGATTTATGCTACTTTGACACAAATGTATCACACTACATGGAGCTCAACCTTCTTGGACTTGACTAATCAGACATGTCAAAATAACCATCATGCTGCACATGCACACAATTCTCCTGAGACTGTTAAATTGCTACAATGAAGATTATTACACCTCATATTAATGCTCACAAAAACAAGTCAATTAAATTACTACAGCCAGTGACACACACATTTCCCAGAACCACAACACACACCCGTCTGACACTGTAACCTCCAGCCTGCATCTGTGACATGAATAACACAAACCAGATGATGACAGACACTTATTTCTGTATATAACTCGCTGGCCAGGAGACCCGACATGAAGGGAAAAAAATGTATTATGACATAAGTGCAGTGGTGTGTGTGTGTGTGTGTGTGTGTGTGTGTGTGTGTGTGTGTGTGTGTGTGTGTACCTGGCTGTTGTTACGGGCCTCAAACTCATCCTTTCCTGAGGCCCTCTGCTGTTCTAGTCTCTTCTGGCTCTGCTCCAGCAGGAAACACACCAGCCACTTATAGGCCGCCAGTGGCACTGATATGATCAACAAGGAATATACTTGCTGGGTTAAACTGACAAATACTCTACAATCAGTAGATTTTTGTTTATCGCAGATATTTAGATAGCTGGTTAAATCTAACAGTTCTCATGGCATAATTACAAGATGTGTTGCCCCACACACATGCAGTTTATTGATCAAACAGGAGCTCCAGGCTAGACTTTTTGTTTGTGTGTCACTTCAGTTTCATTTTGTGTATGCATTTAAGGTAGGATTGCAAAAATAATGGGCTTATTCAATTCAATTCAATTTTATTTGTATAGCGCCAATTCTTAACAGAAGTTATCTCAGGACACTTTCCAAATAGAGCAGGTCTAGACCGAACTCTTTATAACACTGAACTCCTTATAACTAAGGTAAGAGGTTGATAATGTATTCCATTGGATAGACTAAGGTTATGTTATTAGTGATGGTCAGTTTTGCATGGGAAATTGGTGAAGAGACAATCTATCTGTCCACACAGTTAATATTCCATATTGTGGACATGACCTGATTAGCAACAGGTTATACATGCACCAAGCAGCTTTTAACTGGAGGTATGAATTAAATACATTTAAAAATACAACCATTATAATGACACACAGATTACTTACTTCTGATCTCATTTTCACTTCAGAGATTTGACCTACACAATGTTTATCTGTGCTTTTTCTGAAAACCACACATTTATTACAAAAACAGATCTTCCTGTTGATACCGCATTGACTTCAGTTAGATCTTTAAAGGGAATAATCCCTTCTCAATTATAGTTTCATCATGACCCTGACAAGCTCAAATATTAGAATACCTGCAGAGTCCATACACTGCTCCATCGTTCTTGCTGTGAACTTGCTTTCCAGGATCTTTTGGGAGTCATCCAGAAAATCCACAGTGTGAAGTGGAGACTCAATCCGCACACCATCTGAAACAACACAGCAGCTAAAACTCAAACAGAGTTCCTGTGCTCATCCTTAGTATGCAGTTTCTATATCTGTAGCGTGATAGCTACCTTCATTCTATTTTTATTTTATTTATTTATTTATTTATTTTGGGGGGGGGGACTTTTATTGCTTTAATTGATTGACATCTGAAGAGTGACAGGAAAGGGGGGAGAGAGGGGAATGACAAGCAGCAAAGTGGTTGGCTAATTGGCAATCCCATGGAAACGGATTGATTTTGCTCTGAAATTTCGCAGTTTGAAATGCTGATGGCTGGGCCTTAACTGTTGTTGTAAACGGTCCAGAAATTGACATAAAAATGGCAGGCGCATGAGCAGTAGTATGAATAATAATATTAATAATCAATAATAAATATGATCAGCAATAGGCACAACCCTTGTGCAGAACACAACTTTGAGTAGCCTTCATATCTCATACTGACAACAATAAAACCGTGTAGTGCACAGTGGACTGACCATGGTGTTTAGCGTTCAGCCAGCCGAGCAGGTAGTTGCTGGTCTGTTGCAGCAAGACATTGTTGTCTCCTTCATATGTACAGTTTGGATCATTGTCATTACGCAGATCACCCAGCCGGTTCACTGAAAGAGAGAGAAAACAAAGGTAGTTAGGCTTCTGTGTGTATTTGTGTGTGTGTGTGTGTGTGTGTATGTATGTATCTTATTATCATTGCATTATTTTTACTTTTTAATCATCTTACATTTTCTGGACCGTCAGTTGTGCAAAATGTGCTTTTCTATTGGTTAATATATCTAACTTGAATTTGTACTTTATATTATCCACAGTCATTATTATAATTATCATTATTATACCTTACATTTGCTAACTATCTTTCTAAAGTACCTCTCTGACATATCTAATTAAAGTATCTATTTATGGTATCTAAAGTATCTGTCTGTCTGTGACTTACTGGCCAGGTATCCATGTCCACCGCAGGCCTCCCTGCACTCCTGGATCCCCCTCTGAGCGATCCATGAGCCCAGTGGTTTACTAGTGCAGCCTATGGCATGGATCTCTCTGCCCAGCTCTGCCTGGAAAACACATACAGCAGACAAATAAGACTCTACTTTATACAGTATGATAACTCCAGATGTAGAAGCACATATGCATGTTTACTGACTTGTCTTTCACTCTTGTCCCTCATTATCAGACCAATCTGGAACTCAACAAAGTTCATGAAGATGGATTTAGAGAAGTGTTCAAGAGCATATGCTGCTGCCAGGTATGGGATCAAACGCCATTGCTGAAACAACAAACGACAATATCTTTAATTTGTGGAATTTGGAAAGATCTACAGCCACATTAAAAAATTGAAATTTACATAAATAACAAAAATATACATGTTGCAATGTGGTTTTAGATACCTGTAACTCTGATAAAATACTCATTCTGACCTGTAACTGGTACTCCAAAACAGGAATCTCTTCTTCGTCTTTGGGTCCAAACTGTCTCCTGGTGGCTGAGAAGCGGATGGCTACAGTCAGAGCCAGCTTCAGGTTGACCAGAGCCATCCTGGTGATGGACACCCTGCCACCTGACAGGGCACCCAGAGATGTCCCAAAACGCTTGTTGGGGTCCTGAACATGAAAGACACAAAAGATGTGAAAAAAAAAACAGAAAGCGTAGTGAATATATATACACTGCAAAACAAATGATTCATAATGACATGCATCAATTCTCCTGGTTTCATCAAAATCCAAAGACTTTGGTGTTTGAACAATAAAAAAGTCCAGAATGCCTGTGTTTCTCAGGAACTCCTCAGTTAGGAATCTTGTTTCCCTTTAATCAGTTTTCGAGTGTATCTTTAAATTACCTGGCTTCACTGAGACTAAAACTGGCCGTCCTGGATAACCAGTACCACAAAGCTGGTTATCAACTGACTCAGTTAACTCAGGGTTTTCCAGTCAGTGTGTTCGTGTGAAAGAGGTGGAATTATTAATTACAAGTGACATCATCAGCCATCAGTTAAGTAATTCATCTGTAATTAGATACCTGTTGGAAAATTGGATTAAAACAGCAGCAAACATGACATGTAACAAGATGAAATGTAGACAATATAAACACAAAACTAGAATAGCTTACAAAGCTGTAAAATAATTTCCAAAAGATTAAAACTAAGGCTACAGCTATAAGTAAGCCCAAGAATTATAATATAAGTTTTTAGTATATAGTAAGTACTTTTTTGCTTTTTTTGTCTGATGAACAAAAGACTGAAGATTTACAGGATGAATTCATGGGAGCTGAACAGTGTGTGTGGATTATCTGTGAGATCTCACAAAAGACAACAGAGGGTTATAGCTTAAAATTATTGTCACCAAGTCGCCACATGTTTTTCTGCAGTGATGAAATAATTCTAAAAAAGCAACAGCACTCTTCAAAATAATAATCTTTGCACAATTAAAACACTGCTTTGTACCAAGCAGCTGTCTCTACTCTTTAGTCTTACCAGAAGCTTGTAAAAATGGCATCATTAATAAGATAGCAAGATTTAAATTAGTGCTGTCAAATGATTAAAATATTTAATCGCGATTAATCGCATTAATGTCATAGTTAACTCGCAATTAATTGCACATTTTTATCTATTCTTAATGTCCCTTGATTTCTTTTTGTCCCATTATTTTTTCTCATTTTAATGCTCTTATCAACATGGAAAAGTGGATCGGCTTGCTTTGTGCAGATGTTGTTTTTATTGAAAAATCATCCATTGTCGCCTGGCTTTGATGAGGGGGCGGAGAATTCGCATCAGCTGTGTGCTTGGCCATCAAGTGGTATTTCAGACTGGACGTGCTGCGATGATAGCTCAGTTCACAACGACAAAACACACAGATCACTTTGGTCTTGTCAATGGAACCATTTGGCAACTTTTTAAAAGTAAACTTTCCATTCAGAATATTATTGGCATCCATTTCAGTGTCTTGCGCTCGCCATCTACTCAAAACGTAACGTCTACTACTCTTAAACAAGTGTGTGCGGCGTGCCTGTTGTTTTGTTTCCAGTCTAACTAGATCCAGTGTGGTGTTGTAGTTTTTCTAACGTTACTAGTTGTTGCAACAGCATGTGAAAAAAACTACAAAGTGTGCTAGGCCAAAAAGAACGTTAATCTTGCAATAAAAAAAATGTACGCCGTTAAAATGGGTTTGCGTTAACGCAGTTAATAACGCGTTTAACTGACAGCACTACTTTAAATGTAAGAATATGCAAATATGCGACCCATTGGTGTGGTAAGAGCCAATGTCTTATCCTGTAGTATAGTCTTTACATTATATTTTCCTGTATGGTGTCATACATTTGTACTGTGTTTTGAGATAATTATTTTGAATGCATTTGAATAAAGTGTAATTTGAAATTCATTCAGATTTTTTGACTTTTTGAAGTGACAACACAGCTATAATTGCCATTATGTATTTAGTTTGATCAACATTCCTGCTGTTTATTAAACATTTTGTTTAAAACCAGAGAGGACCTGGAAGCCTGGAACACATACACTGGAGATCAAAATTAGAGAACAATCTACAATTTCCTAAATGTCAAGGTCACTGCTTAGTCCTATTTGAAATGATCCAAACCGGAGTAAAATAGCAGTATTTTAGGCATATTTCATGAGTTACATATGCTCTGAAGCACAGTATAAAAAACTTAAATGAGATATTTGAAAAAGAACACTGATCAAAATTAGACAACACTTTCAGATATCTCCCAGTTATTGGTGTTAATCTGGCACCTGGTGCTAATTTCCTTAATTATCTGACAAACCTCATTTAACTTGCAGCCTAACTTTCCAGTTTTCACTGACTTTGCAAGATGGTGAGCCATTCTAAAGTGACTGAAACCCTTTGGCAGCAGGTTGTCCAGATGAAGGCCAAAGGGATGACTATCAGTCATAGCAAGAGAAGTTGGTCGTTCCCAATCTGTGATTTCTAGAATATTGCATTTTTACAATGTCACAAACTCATTCAAGTCCCCCAAGAAGGCTGGTCATCCACGAAAGACAAATGCAAGAGAGGACAGGTAAATGCAGAGAATCTCAGTCGGCAATCGGTTCAACGCTGCAGCTGGAATTGCTCGCATGTTCGATGCTGATCAGGGAACTGTGGAACAGACTGGAAGAAGAGTGGACCAGAATCACACCAGAGCAGTGTGAGAGACTAGTGATGTCCTGTGGCCCCAGATGTGCTGACATCATTCAAAGCAACAGCCTGTACACTTCCTACTAATTTGGTTATTTTGTAAAACACTGTTCTAGTAGCATGGTACAGCCACAACAAAAACTCCTTCAAATGTTGAGCAATGAAGATTTCATTATTTCTGAAAAAATCACGTGTTCCTAAATTGTTCTTCAATTTTGATCTCCAGTGTATATATGCTTCCTTTAGGCAAAAATATTAGGAATGACTCCATCAACTTGCACCACTGTAGGTCAGTTGATGTTAGATCATAAACCAGAATATCAGTCACAAGTAACAAATCCATTTCAATTTGCATAATTTAATTTGAAAAAGTTATTAGCTACATGTCTGGTTACTGCAAAAAGTAGTGGAATTACAATAACATGTTACTCCCAACACTCACCGATAGCTGTAGAGCTGAGGGAAACTGTAGAGTTGGTAATTATTTTCTGTAGGTCTATCACTACAAGCAAAGACTGGTAAAATGTATTTAATAGTGCAGCTTTAAATTAACTTTAATTGGTGCTTGGAATGCCTCTGGAGTGCTTCCTTGGTCACTGGTAGAAATCTTACTAACCTTGAATGGCGTAACATAGCGGCCATCAGGAGTAACATCTCCAGTCTTATTCAGTAGATTCTCCTGAGGGATCCTTACATTGTGAAACAAAGCAAACCTGATGGAAAAAAGACAAAGAGAGACGAAATGTGAGAGTCAAGTCACCGGGTCGCTTTAAATTGTCATTGTGCAGTGTCAAAAAGGAGCATCTTCCTTGTAAACACAGGAGTCGATAGCTCAAGTTTGTTCCTGGTGTTAATATTTGCTCAAACAACGGTCGAGTGTGAAAATATATTGACTGACTAATTCCCCGACATTCGTCATTTTTTTTTCTTCAAATCAGACAGGACTGTTTTGTTTTGAACTAGTGATATTTTAATTGGATCAATTACTTAAACAATCTATTTCTCAAGCATGGCATGCATATTAGGAATTGAAAATGGTGTGGCTTGCTCCATATTTTGCATCGTGTGTCTACCCTGTATTGGACAGCCTATTTAATAATGCCGTGTTGGAAGTTACTGCTTTGATAAAATCAGTGTGTTTTAGTTTCAGTCTCGAATGTTTCCCAGAGTCCCAGAGACATTCCTCTACTACAAACTATGAATGTAGCTCCATCTAGTGGCTTTACTGAGGCACTGAAGAGCATATGCTGCTGCTTCACATGACCATTGCATGGTGTTAAAAACCACAGCAATTTGAATCTTAACATAGTTTGCACCAATTCTGAGCTATCTAAACATAATATGCATAATAGGTAACTTGTATTGGACTTGAATCAAACTCTTTACTCTTTACAAACTATTAATGTTGCTGAAATGTCTGCATTACTGAATGACTATTGTGGGAAAGGGAAAATTATGAGTTACAATATGTTATCAGTAGTGCTGTCAGTTAAACGCGTTATTAACGGCGTTAACCCAAACCCATTTTACGGCGTCAATTTTTTTATCACGAGATTAACGTTCTTTCAACAACTAGTAACGTTAGAAAAACTACAACACCACACCGGATCTAGCTAGACCGGAAACAAAACAACAGGCACGCCACACACACTTGTTTAGGAGTTGTAGACGTTATGTCTTGAGTAGATGGCGAGCGCGAGACGCCGAAATGGATGCCAATAATATTCTGAATGGAAAGTTTACTTTTAAAAAGTTGCCAAATGGTTCCATTGACAAGACCAAAGTGATCTGTGTGTTTTGTCGTTGTGAACTGAGCTATCATCGCAGCACGTCCAGTCTGAAATACCACTTGATGGCCAAGCACACAGCTGATGCGAATTCTCCTCCCCCTCGTCAAAGCCAGGCGACAATGGATGATTTTTCAATAAAAACAACATTTGCACAAAGCAAGCCGATCCACTTTTCCATGTTGATAAGAGCATTAAAATGAGAAAAAATAATAGTACAAAAAGAAATCAAGGGACATTTAGAATAGATAAAAATGTGCAATTAATTGCGATTAATTGCGAGTTAACTATGACATTAATGCGATTAATCACGATTAAATACTTTAATCGTTTCACAGCACTAGTTATCAGTTTATGTTTTGTGTATTATTGTATTTGTTTTTGGTTATTCAAAGTTGGAAACACTACTGCAGATACTCGGTGCCGACTTAACATGTTTTATGACTCATGGTTGATTTCCTATGGTAATATTTCAGCCACGTAAAGCTTGTTAAATTTCAGGTCTGTAGATGTCCAGTTGGACAACTGTACACATTGAGACACTGTACTGGCATTTGTATTCATATTATATGGTTTTGATGTCATTATACACATGATCAAAGGAATGCATCTTTCATTCAAAAACTCCCCTTTTACATTGGCAGCAAAACCATTGTAACTCACCAACACTGCTTTGTTGGGAAAAGGACATAGTGGGGCCCCTTCCACAATTGGCAAATAGTATGGAATACCTCAATAATTAAAAGTTTGTCATATATACACTACTCACAAAAAGTTAGGGATATTCCACTTTCGGGTGAAATTTAATGAAAATGTAAAAAGTTGATGCTATAGTGATATTATATCATGAAAGTAGGGCATTTAAGTAGAGAAGTTCAAATTAAGATCACCTGGAAAGGTTATAGTGCATTTTATGTACATTCTGAAATTTCATCCGAAAGCCGAATATCCCTAACTTTTTGTGACTAGTGTAGAATTATTCAAATGGAAATTTTCAGAAGACATTTATTACCCCATTAAAATTTAATAGAATGGATGAGAGACAAATGCTGGCATGGCTGCAGTAAAAGATACACTATGTGAATGTCAATACTGCAGTAAATTCCCTCTGGTCAGTCGTAACAAATGCTCTTACCGAAATCCTCCATGTTGATGTTCCTAAATGTCCCATGCAAGAATGTATTATTATTAAATTAATTATAAATGTATTTTTATTAAACATTTTACTTGAACTCCATAATGGATTATGTGTAGTGGTTTATAATGCAGTAGTAAGGTTCTCATAGATCTTTTCTATAACTAACACACACACACACACACACACACACACACACACACACACACACACACACACACACACACACACACACACACACACACTCTCTAAGTATTATTGATACCACCATTTTTATATAGCTTTCTCTGTCACTGTAAAAAGCCGTTATGCATCAGATTGAGGGGGGAAAAAATGCTCTTCTTGCAAAAGAAAGCAACAATAATAAGCCTTCCTTTGCCATCACCTACCCGTTATCCAGTCCGTTCTGGCCCAGCTTCTTGCCCATGTCTCCAACCAGCACACCAGGCAAAGCTAGCAAGGTCTTGGAATCTCTCACCTGCAGCACAATAGTTATACATTAACTGGATGTGATATATGGTTCTCAGTGTGTCCTAATCTGAGTGCATCATTAAAACAATGTGCAGTTTCCTCTAGTCCACAATGACACAGTATGATCTTGTTGATTTCAACATTATTAACCTTTCTATATATATATATATATTATATTTGACATAACATTTGAAGCATTCGACCAAAACTAAATTGGCTCGAGTTTGTTGTGATGGAACAAAAGAATAGCAGGTAGCAGGGAACCAAAGTGGGCGTGTCATATTCTTCAGGTCATTGTGCACTGTGTTTCGCCTCTGTTGATTATGCATCTGATCAACCAGAGCTTATTTGGTGAGTGAGTGATTAGGTTACACCATTGGTCGATTGAGTGTTGGAGTTTCCCCATTGGCCATTGCATTTTTGAAATGACTAGGCGTGAACACTAGTTATATACATTAACTCCAGATCCTATGAGTATAACCACAAGCAGGTTCATCCCTCACTTGTGCACTACATGGGCCCCACCTCGGTCTGACTTTGTGTGTAAGCTGGACGGAGACCCAACAATCGGCTTCCACAAACAGCTTTTTCATCAGCTAGTTAAAGGAACCAGTAGGGCCCACAGCTTAGAGGGCTGTGCCTACAGTATAGTACACCCTTCAACCATCTCTTGAGGTAAGAAGCAATAATACGGCCAGGGCCGTAACACAGCGCTTACACTTTCATCACTTAGACATCAGAAATGACCTTTCACCTGATTTCATTTGTTCCTTTTAATCAAACAAGCCAACATTTTAACTGCTTGAAGCAGAAGCACTTCTGTAACATTTCACAAAACTAAACATGTTGAGTCACTGAAACTGTTTCAAATGCTTTCACTGCAGGATTTCAGCAGTCAACACACATTTATTACTATAATATCAATATAATACTGTGTCTTCTGAGATACAGCGCTGTGCTGTAACATCAGATAACAGCGCCTGATAATGTAACCAGCTGCAACTTGGATGGGGATTGAAGGTCAAATCTTACCGGGACAACGAAGGAGTGCAGGCCGTGGCACACCTGGTCAGATGTGTAGAGCTGAGCGAACACCACAGCGTGGGTCGCAGTCTTACCCAGGTTCCCCACCCAGAACTTGGCGGCCTCAAAGTCCGGAGAGTTGATGATAAACTCCTACAGAGTAGAAATGTACTGCTTTTACCCCTTTTATGAAAATGTATGAAGGTTTGAGGTCCAAAACATTGTGAGGCAAGAGTTTTTTCATTCATTTTCAATTTATTTAACTCAACAAATGTTACCTGACCAAAAATAATTCAAATAAAACTGGGAAAGAGAAAAAATAACTAAAGCCCTATTGGCACGGGACTAGTATTATCAGGGGATATTATTTGTAATAATTGCTAAGGACATCTGTGATGATGCAAATCTGCCATGTAGTAGTTATTTATAACTTCCACCGCAAATTATCCTACTATAATTCAAGGTCCTGTGATTATATTAGTCCTGCATGAATTGGCATCTCCAATGGTAACTGTAGTCCTGTGCAATTAGGGCTTAGGCAACACATTCTTACTCTCAGTGGCGCTGTGGAGACTGTAGTTAGCCTCTAGCGTCAGTTTTACATGTGCATGGTTAAGCAAGCAATAATTAATATGTAATGTCTAGTCAAGTTAGTAATAATAGTTATGCAACGATTGGTCAGACTTTCAAAATAAAGCTTGCTGAGAAACATTTCACATTTTAGGAGTTTAAATGGTCACACTTTGGTTAGGGTTAGGTACAAAAACTACTTGTTTAGGTTTAGGAAAAGATTGTGGTTTTGGTTCAAATAACTGTGTGTAACAGAGATTAAAAGAAGTCAAAGTACATCCTTACATACATTTCTTCTGTCATGAGCCAAATATATTGCCATTTAACATCCATTACAAACATATTTTGTTGTGTAGTGTGTGTGCTGACCTGGGTGGAGGGGTCATGTGTTGCTGTGGTCCTCATGGCTCTGGTGTTGCTGCCGTGGCTCACCTCAGTCAGGGCAAAGCATCCAAACGTCTACAAACAGATGCAAATTCAAGTTCATGATGGCCTGCTGACTGTGTGAAAACTGGTGATTCTAACATCTTAGCAGCCACAGTCTGCACTAACAGCTCTGTGTAAATCTGTGGAGCAGTCATTTTAGCTGATTTGAGTTATCAATTTTTTTTTGCATTTTGGAACACTTGATTTGGAGCAGGGAAGTGGCATTATCACACTTCAAGATTAATTGTGGAAGCAAAGATTGTAATCACAAATATCATCTGACCACCTATTTATCCGTTTTCAGGGTAGTTTTGGAGAAAATAACTAAATCCAAAAGAATCCAAAGACTGGACATCATTCAGCACCTGCATCATGTATATCTAGTAGGGCAGGAAATGATTACATCACTATAGACCCTCACTACTCTGTATTCCCCGTTAGACAGAGATAAATCAATCACTGATACAACTGTAAAGTGGGGTCTAAAGTATAACACTATGTTCAACTCAAGCAGCAACCTGCGCCTATGGAAAGTTGATGAGGTCATTATTTGTCGGGGTTGACAATATCATAAAAGTTTGTTTTGATCAAGAAACTGCAAATGAAGCCATCACAGAAGTAACAAAACAACAGTACCTTCAGACCACTTCAGGCTGGCCCATGATAACCGTACAGGGGGTTCATTTTAATATAACTCACCTCTTTCAATTATATTAAGGCTTAAAGGTATGCATAATTAAGGGCGTGGACGCTTCAAGTGACAGGTGGGGGCTGTCACAGGCGGCTGTTTTCAGTAACCAGGCTTCATTCAACCGGCCTCAGTGCCACCCACACTGCACCTCTTTGCCCCTCACAAACCTATATGATGAGACTACGTCCATTTTTAATTATACAGTCTATGGCTGAACTCTTACCGTCATGTTTTCAGTGTTTTCAACATATTTGTTGTGTCTTCCTGATCCTGAGTTAGCAACAGTCGCTCCAAACATCTGAAACAGAAGAGATTTTTAACATCTTTTGCTGGGATGGAACAATGAGTAAAGTGGCCATGTGAGATAAGCTATGATGGTGACATGGGTCATTCCAAACTACAAATGACCTGTTTTGTGTAGGTTGGAGGATTAGCCGCACACTGGAATGGGCCAACTAATGAGCCAACTACAGGCACTAGCTAGAGACCAGTCAATTAAGGACTTCTATCATGCATTTCTTTGCTGGATAGGAGCAAGTACTCTCACACCACAGCCCCCAGTGCACACTTACCCCTCTGTTGAGAAAGAACTTGGCCCCAAGGGCCCAGTCATACATGCCCAGACAATCACTAAGGACCACAGTCTTCCAGGGGTTGACCATGGCCTCTTCTTTTGTGATGAAGTCGTAGCGGAAAAGCTGCTTTGCCCTGGAGATTTTTATCTCAAGCTTTATTTTCTAAGTACACAGGACGTTACTGGTGATAAAATAATTGAATTGTGCTGTATGAGTGAATTCACAGCGGATACAAAAGGTGAAACTTTCTGTTGATACCTGAGGAAGGTCAGCTCTCTCATTTTCTCCAAAGGGACGTCTTCACCGGGCCGACGGGCGAACAGAGGATCATTCTCCAGTGTCTTGAACACATGTTGCTGCACCGCACAGAAAAAGAGAAACATTAAGGTGACATAGGGTGCCATGTACAACTATTCACATTATTTAGACTTTTGATGTGTATGGCTACCTTGAATGCCAGCACTTCCTCTCCGTCTATGAACAGGAGCATGTCCTTCCAGTTGAAAGAAGTCTTTTTCCTGTAGATATCGAGCGGGCCGCTAGGAAGGTCTGCCACTTCATGGTGCATCTTCTTCCGTTCACTCTAAAGGGAACCAAAGTAAAATTACATCAGCATACAGTATTATCAATCTCGGGGTCGGGGCCCCACTAAAGGGTCATTACTATATTATTACATTATTATATTATTATATTTTGCTACAAAATTTGCGTCCATTTTTGGTATTTTTCTCAAATCTTGGATAATACTGGATAATTTGACCTTATCAGACTTCTAACATATCTACAAGAAATCATGTGATAAGTTTAAAGGGGAAATATCTCTTTGGTGAAACCAATGACAGTATATATAATGGACCGAGCTTCCGGGTCTGAAAAGTGAAGTCAACACGGAGGTGTCTGTAATCCTGCATTCTATGTAAAGGCCAGCAGAGGTACTGTAGCTCCATTGGCTGCAAAAAAAAAAAAACAATACCATGCACTCTATTGGAGAATGAGCTGACTCCTCACTTAATTTATGAGATCAGTAAACAGTTTCCTAACATGTTTATGGTCTCAATCTCTAGTTGCAAGTCTTTTTCCATACAGCTTTGTGTTCATTTCAAACTGTCAAACTAGGCAGTGCTGATCAAATGCAAAGCAAGATTCTGTTACTGCGTTGACTTTTTCTCTCTCTTTTCAAAAATATAATTTAGTGCACTGTGTAATTTGTAATACGAGATTGTGTGTGACCAGGCAAGCTGCCACTGTTTCTGTTTCTGTCAAAACTGTACTCCACAAACCAATGGGTGATCCTCACTTGAGTGGAACTGCTAACTCATCTGAAACATGACAAGGAGCTGCACAAGACAATGCTTTTTAATAAGGGGTCAAAACCCAACACTTTTAGAAGCCACTGGTTTAATCTTTAGCAATGCATTGTGTTTTATAAGCTCTTAGTGTTTCTTAGTGTAAAATATTAATCTGTCAAATAAAGGTAATGGAATAAAAAGTACAATATTTTCTCTTAATTATAGTAGCTGAGTTGAATTAAAGGACCAGCATGTAGGATCTAGTGCAAATTGCAACTCCCACCCTTCACCCTGGACCCTGCAGATAGTTTCAGTTTTCTGTGCCCAGGTTTTGAGATGTTCTCCCTTAAACCTCTGGCAAACCACAGTATATGTCAGATATGATAAAAGCCTCCAGCACGAGAAGATTTATCTATAAAACAAAAAAACATATGCACGTTTATTTCAATTCAAAGTAACCTTTGTAGTTGAGCTGCTATCAATGCAGAGCAGAGTTCAAGGTTGGGTCTGTTCTCTCAGGTTAGCTAACTAATGTTACACAGCACGGTTACACTGGTAGGAGGCCAAAACAAGTGACTGATATTAACCCTGCCTGGTCAACATAAAGCGACAACCTTCACTTGGAACAGCAGCCCCTCAACCAGCTTGTCTTTCCACTATTAAAGCAGCTGTTGAGTTGAATGTGGTCGACTCACTACCGGAACAGAAGAACTTAACGTTAGGTCTTTGTAAACAACAGACACTGACTTACTGTGTTATATCTTACCTTACAGCTCTGTCTTAACTCCCTGTTGATATCTGCTCTCTTCTTTGACTTCGTGTCGTCTGAAGTCTGCGTACAGGAGCTGTGTGTCAAAGGTACCTCCAGCCGCTTCCCCTTTTCCAGCAGGAACAATAACACTTCCTGTCCGCACCCTTCAGAGTAAGAGCACGCTCGTCTTTGGCTGCGTTTCATTAGTATTTTTTTTTTTTTTTTTAATTAATTTGGGAGCAGGGTTGATAAGTCTATCTATTGTTTTAAATACGAATATGGGATTGTGCTGGTTACTGGTGATTATGGTAGGTTAATAAAGTAGTTGCCTCTTCCATTTGTTTGTTGTAAGAAGTCAGAAGGTCCTTCATATACAAAAAGTGGACGTGTCATTTTGTCTTTTTCCATCTCCTTTCTGGCCTGTCTTAAGAGGTTTTTGCAGTTGATTTCAATCTGTGTTTTCCACTGGTCCACCTCAGTCATTACACACATGATCTGAGGAAAGTTATTTCATTTAAATACTGCCCTTTTAAGGTATGAGCCCCCAATAATATGTATTAAGGTTTACCAGAGTGTTATGTATATATGTATATGTGCTGATGAAACATGATGCATTTTTAATGCATACTAGCCTTTAGCAGTGCTAACTACAACATTGATGATAGAGAGTCACTTAGTAGCTGTGCAACTCTGTAACTGTCGCACTGTGTAGGCTAACCAAACTTGGGTTTGACATCCTTGGATGTGCATTTTTCAGTACCACTTTCACATAAAAGGTGCTTATTAAAAATGTGACTTAAAGATTCAGTAAAAAAAGCTGTGAATAATTTTGGTTTTGCTTGAAGGATAAACATTGGCCTAGAGAGATCTTGGATTAAAATGTGCTTGGCCATGGTCTCCTTTCAGACTTACACTCTTAAGGATTTTAGGTACTGGGTTTTACCTTTTTATTTCAAAGGCGGTGGAGCTCTACTCTGCTTAGCTCTGCAGAGATGTTTAAATGTGTGTTTGTGGAGCTATAATTTAAGCTAGAGGGTCATGAGTTTCTCTTTTCCTTCTGGTCCCCCAAGTCCCCAAAATAAAAACAAACAAAAGCAAAATACGTCATTTCTCCAGAGTAGTGTCTTCTGATATTGACAGCATTTGTCATTACCCACTGAAACGGTTACAAATCACTGTAACAAAGATTGTCCATCGGACGTTTCCTGATCTGCCATCTCTGTGGCTAGAGTTAGGTTTAGGTGCGGAAGCTACTTGGTTTGGGTGGAAATACAGTGGTTGGGGTTAAAAACAGGTACTATGTCAAGGCTGGTCTCCTTCAAGAGAATTTTGATTTAGAGAAAGTTGGTAGGAAATGGGAAACCAATAGAGGTCACTTGTGTCAAAAAAGACCCTTTGTTACCCCATCCTTTACCACAACTTCAACCCACTGATATTTTGAAATCTTACTGCTCCCACAGACAAGTCCTAATTCACCTGCTCAATAGAGGTCCCCACCAGGTAAAAATATTTAGATTATTTGGATATACACCAGCCAAGAGGGCATTTCACAACCTAATAATCCAAAAGTCCTTTGTACAAATGGTTTATTACTGCTTTATAAATGTTGCTTTAACCATGAAGCAAACCATTAGTAATAACTTCTAAAGCCTGGCACCACTGTCTAATAAAGTACCATTTAGAATGGGTTTATCACACGATATATGGGCACGCATCACCAGCATGTACAAGTCAGGGATACTAACACAGAGGATGTATTTGATGATGAGCAAAACAAAAAAGAAGGCTTAGATTAAAAAAAAAAAAGGTTAAACAACTTTAAAGATTGGTTAGAGAGCCCAGTAGTGCCCCCAGATCCTACTAATCAGGGAAAGTATGTCCAGCCATGAAGTCAGATGTGTTTCCAGGTTTCCAGAGTGCTGGATGCCTATGCTTACTTCAGACTTTGATATAAAATAATGCACAAATATACAAAATGTGCAGTAGATACTCTGGATTTTATGCATAGTATTTCTTCACCGGATGTGGAAGCATTGTGTGCTAAATGTGTGCCAAATTTCATGACTGCTAAACATCTTTGTGTGTCAATTAGCTTGCAAAAAATTATGAAAAAGCAGCAATTTTCTAGTTTTAATTGGAGCTTTAGTTGAAAATTTAGTCTATCTATGAATTAAATGTTTGTCTTTTTTCCTTAAACAGTAGTCCCATATAGCACACAAACAAAGGTGATATAATCAGTGGTTGAATGTGACACTGAATTGAATTATTGAAAGTTTTTTTGGTTACTTATAGCACTTTGTTTGAAAAATGTGATGATTGTATACTTTGTATACAAGTGAATAAAATGCTAACACATTGTGCTGCAAACCCTGTAAGTATTACAGGTTTAAGTGTTATATTAATGTATGTTTTACGGATTACTGTACAAGCCATTGAGTTAGTGGGTAAAGCAGCATGCACTTTAGTTGTCTTTGGCAATAATAGATAAGCTCCCATCTCCTAGTAGCACCAACTTCAGTGAAAAACAAATGTTCTTGTCGCAAATCTTGAAACAATCATAGAGTGTCATGTAAGATAAGCCTTTCTCTGTCGGTTCAACAATGTTTCTTCAAAGCTGAACCATTTCACAGATGACATGTAGAACAGTTTGTACATCAGTATACAGTGGCATTGAAAACAAGACGATGTTTTGTTCTCAGAAAAGATTAACAACTTTACGTTTAACACAATAAGAGGTTGAGATGGCTGTGTTCTGAAGGAGTAATGCGGGTTTGGGTTAGTTAAGCCAAGAGATAAAAAGTAACTAAGTACATTTAGTATACTAGTTTTTAAGTATTTTATGTGAGTAATTCAACTTTGTGTGATCTTATACTTTTACATTTCATAGAAATATTGTCCTTTTTACTCCACTCCATTAACCTGACAGCTGTAGTAACTAGTTTCTTTAAAGACTAACGTTGTTACATGCAAAATATAAATAAGATGCACTGCTAGAGTTTAAAAGTAGCCAGTGTGATACTAGAAATGTGTAGGCTTCAAAGATAATTTTATTTTAATATGCACTCAGTGATGCAAATCTTTATCTCTGTACATTAAATCTTTCTCTGTGCTTGATTTGTAGTGATTGCTTTATCATGGCTTGATTGGTAATACCTTGGACCTCCAGATGGGGGAACATGAACAAACCTTCCTCATTTGTTGTATTTCAAGTAAAGACAAGTGATGAGTCTGTGTTTTCTTTCACATTATTTTCCTCCTTTTACAGAAATGTGCCAGGATTTTTGGAAATTCTATTTACTTCCTTTCCGAGAGTTAGCTGAGAATGGATATCAGTTTCTGTGCCTTAAAGAAATAGTTCAAACCTTTAGAGAAATTGTATATGCTTTCTTTACGACAATAAGAGGTTGAGATGGCTGTGTTCTGAAGGAGTAATGCGAGTTTGGGTTAATTAAGCCAAGAGATAAAAAAGTAACTAAGTACATTTAGTATACCAGTTTTTAAGTAATTTATGTGAGTAATTTAATTTTGTTAGATCCTATACTTTTACATTTCATAAAAATATAGTCCTTTTTAATCCACTACTGTAACCTGACCGACACGTAACCTCCTTTAAAACCGCAAAAACTTTGGAACCCAAAGTGTCAGTACCTACCAACCTGGGAATGAGACTCAACAATCAACTCTCTTTCTCAGCTCTGATTGGTTGTTTTCATTCAGGCCCTAGTAGATTATTGCAAATTCCATTAGGAGCACTAGGATAAGTCAGAGGAACCTGATTATTATTATGATTATCTGTCTTGTACTACTGTCAGGATATAGTAAAAGTTTCAGCTAATATGACAAAAAGTTATTTTTATAAAAGTTACCTACTGTTGCTTTAATACACAGACATGAGACTGAGATCAATGTGAGCATCTCAGTCAGAGAAAGAAGGTTAATAGCTGTATTATCTGAAATGTTGAGCTATTCTTTTATGCAAAGGGTCTGGAGTCAGGACATGTTTCGTCTATTTAACATAAGTAGGGGTGGGGCTCTGGCCAAAAGATAAACATAGTTGTGTTTCCTTTGGTTTAACACCAGCAGAATGTGGAGAAATTAGATATTTACAGTATATCATATTAATGCAACAGTATGCAATATAACATGTAAAAACATACATGAGTACTTGTACTTCCTTAAATACTTATATACTATTACTTCCATAAACCTCTGAATGCAGTATTATTATTCCATTGTGGTACTGATAGCTTTACTTTATTAAAGGATCTAAGTCCTCCTTCAAATCTGACTAACAACATTCTTTAAATATATGTGAGAAAAAATAAGATCTTCGGTCAAGTCTGGTATTAGATGAAGCTGTTTGTTTTTTGTCTTGTTTTTTATTATGTTCTGCTGTGGAGCATGCCACTAAATGGTTTTACTTTTACTATGCAGAATTATGTTGTAATATATTACATTCTATAAACTGAGATTATAGAAAATAGCAGATTACAGGTACAACTGATCATGCTTCGTGCAAAAGGTTAGTTTTCTGTATTGTACTGTACTGTACCATCGTGATGGTGGGGGCTGGCACATTGTGGTAAACTGCTGAGAACGCTGTTCAGACACAGGTATAGGCTGCACATTTCCTGTCTTTGCTCTTGTGGCTGACACACTTTGACTCAGCTGTTGGAGGACAGAGGTTTTCCCACGCAAGTTTGATCATTTAGAGGAAAAACATATCTACCAAGAGGAATTTGGTGAAGCAAAAGAAGATAAATTAATTAATTGCGATCCAGCATTACTGCAGAGAAGATTTTTGAACTCAATATCTTTTGGTCCTTTCATTCAGCATGGTGCATCTTGGTGATGTTCCTCAAAACTTTATCAAAGTCATGTTAAAAGCTGTGAATATGTTCCTGCTCATATGCTGCTACTTTGTCCTCCAGCGCTTATTTGATCTAGATTTTTCTTGCTCATGCAGACCAGGTCGAGATAGAAGTGTTGTGATGTACATACTTGCCCCTCCTTGCATCCTCACCTGGATTGTCCTCTTCATTGAGTTTGTCTACCAAAGGGGGATATTTTGCTGCTGCAGTCATTGTTGCAACAACTTCTGCAGCTTCATTGTTAAGTTTTTGATCAAATATGTGTTTCTGGGCTCTGTCTGGGTGTCCACTGTTCTGTTTGATGGAGACTGGTACTTCTGCCTGCTGACAAATCTCAACACCTCCCAG